CTCATCCTTAAGTATTTTATACAACAAAGATTCTTTCCTGGCTTGGCAGAGAGGTGTTGAGGGGGGTGGCAGGTGAAGCATCTCTAGGACCACCAGCCATTCAAAGCAGGGGCTGGCACAGGCGATCCAAGAGCAATCCACAGGACAAAGGACATCCCTTATAGCCTTTGGAGTGGGGAGCCTCTGTCCCTGAGTTTAGTCATTGTGTGAAAGCACTGGAAAGACTGTAGCTCAGGAAGCTGATCTTATTGCGCCACCCTATCCTGGAGCTGCTGCGTGCTAGGAGTTTAGCAGTTCAGTGAAGACATTGGATAGGAAGCAAGGCTTCTGTGATTTCCTCTACAGTCCACAGGGGTGGCCTCTGATCTGACACTGGGCAGGCCACCTTTGAACAGCATGCCAGGGCATCAGTGCCCCCCAAAACTGGGAATGGCTTGTGTTTGTTCTACTCAATGTTTGTTTCCAAGATTATATGGTAAAATCTTAGCAGTGGGAAACCCAGGGCAAGGGCTCTAGGGACAGCACCAGAATTTACCCTTGATAGAACAAACTATTTTCCCTCAGCACCCAGATGGGCAGGGGTGTCTGCTGGGGGCTACAGCGTCATCAGGTGTGTTATGCATTGCACAGGACACCCCTCCCCCTCCCACAGCTGAAGCCACAGAGTGACCTCATGGTGGCCTTCCTAGAGGCTGACCCCCTGAACCTCTCCCACGTCCTAGCCCTGCCCAGTGAGAGGGACAATAAGTAAGCCATTGTCCTGGGGAAGCTGCCTCTCTGCAGCCTAGCTCTCTCCGTTCAGCTGGGCTTCCCTCTGGCTCCGCCCCAGAGCTTTTCTAAGCTGGAACATTGTTGCCCGACAGTTTCCTCTATTTTCCCAACATGTTAACATTTTAAGGCTGTCCATAGCCACAGGGTCCATAAAGCAGGAATTGGCAATTGACACACAGGAGGTGAAGGAAGACCTCCCCCCCTCCTCCACACCCACTTTGTTTCCTACCCAGCAGTTGCCAACCGCCAAAGGCAGGAGGAACTGAGAAACAGACTCTAGTTGTGGGAGTAGCTGGTGGTATAATTGATGCCTGCAGCCCATTTACAACCTGGGCCCTTAGTGGGATGGGCTGGGGCTTGGGCCAGGGGTTTAAATGCTCCTGGGAAAGCAGTGGGCAGTGTTGGACTCTGAGAAGGAGAATGTCTCGCTCTAACAGAACTTCCCCAGATGGGCAGAGCTGGGATCCCCGAGGGGCCCGGTTCCAGCCGGCATCTAGCATGTTGCTATTCTGAGGACAGCCACCTGCCTGAGGCCATCATATGAATGCCAGGGGATTCCTAGTATGAGGGTGGCTTGTATGAGGGTGGCTTGCCTCGTTCCTGTGCAACTGCCTCTGATTTCACTTTCCTGGGGATTTAAAACTGGAAGATAAAGAGCACCCTGGGGGGGGGGAATGGAGGAAGCCAAGTGGCATTGTTTCAGTTTTCGCTCCCCTAAGCCCTTCTAGTTCATTCCTTTGACTCTGTCCCCTGGGACTGGGGTGGTGACCTCATGCATGGTGGTTCTGCATGGCGTACCAACAATAAGCAGCCTGGGCAGCTTGAATGTCTTCCCTCATGACTGGAGCTGGAGGTTCAAGGTGTGGGCATGGAAATTGTTGGCTCATAGATGGTGTTGTCTCTCTGGATCCTCACAAGGATGCCCCTCTGTGCCTGTCCGTGTCAAACTCTGTCCCTACAAGGCTCTTGGATGTGGAACCATTCTGGCAGCCCGTCTCATTTAAATTTAGTTAACCCTTAAAGGACCTTGTCTCCAAAGACATATCCTCAGGTTCTGAGGGTTGGGGCTTCGAGAGACAGATCAGGGATGGAGCACAGTTCAGTCTCTAACTGCTTGAGAAGAGAGGAAGCCAGTGCAGAGCCTGACCTTGGCTTCCGGGCAAACACAAACGAGGGGCCCAGGCACTGCTGGGAGGTGTGGAGGTGCTGTTGGTGCCAAGTGAGTGATCTGCTAGGGGTGTGGTTTGCTAGCCTTTTCCCAGCTAGACAGACCCTCATCTGTGAGGTCCCCGGCCTCAGAAGCAGAGGTTTGGAGAGGCGAGGCCTCATCCACTCTGGTTATCCTGGTCCACATGACCCTGTCTCAAAAAAATGTAAGTGCTGGAGAGATGGCTCAGCCATTAAGAGCACTGGCTGCTCTTGCAGAGGACCTGGGTTTGGTTCCCGGCACCCACATGACAGCTCACAGCGGCCTGGAGCTCCAGTTCTAGGGGATCTGACACTCTCCTGGCTTCCATGTCATATGAGTCCACGCATGCAGGCAAAACACCATATCCATTAAATAAATCTTTAAAACAGAAAGCTTCGCGGGAACACTAGTCCCCTAGTCATGGTCTGGTGAAAGCACAGGCTGTCATATTCTCTGTGCTCTCTGTTTCTTCAGACAGGGGCTCACCACGTAGCCCAGGCTGGCTTCAGACTCCTGGTAATCCCCCTGCTTCAGCCTCCCTAGTGATGGGGTTACAAGCCTAGATGTTACAGAAAAGGAAAGTTATGAGCTGCCTTATGTGATGGGATCACTCTCAATGCCTGAGCATGGTCAGTACTATCAGGGTTCCCTGGAGAGTCCATTGGCTGGGTGGGCGTCACCTCTACTTAGTATAGAAATAGAATTATGTGTTTGTGCCTGTGCATCTTTTAAAATTACATTTATTTATTGTTGAGAGGTAGGCACAAAAGTGCCATGGCACACATGTGGGCGTCAGTCTGTCCGGGAGACAGATGGAACTCGGGTCAGCAGGCTTGGTGGCAAGTGCCTTTACCCACTAAGCCCCTCCAGCAGCCCCAGTACTGTATATATTTTAGTATCACTTATAGGCTGTTATTATGACTGTCCTCTGAGCCTACTTATGCCAGCTGGACTGTTAGCATCCCCTCATGAGGAGGTGGAAACGTCACAAGACCCTCACCTGCGTGTCCAGCTGCTTCCTGTCACCTGTTGTGTATACCTCTGCCTTACTCACACCTGTCCTTAGGGAGGGGCTAGAGAACATAAGAAGACTAAGGGGTGGGGGGGGGCTCTCCATCTAGATGGCCCATGGGGAAGTCCTCATCCCTGATGGCAAAAGGAAGGGCTTCATGATGCAGCCTTTTAGGGAGGAGCACTCACCCCAATAAGTAACCCCTCATCTATGGTCTGTAAAGAAGCTCCAATAAATTCACTGTTTCTCCAGAGGGAACTCCGTTAGAATCATGTCCCAGTTTGGGACCTTAGGGGAGGAGATAGATGTTGCTAATGTACCCAGGCTCCAAGCTAGAGCTGTGTGTTTCACTTCCTCCTGTCCGTGGCGTGTACATAAATGTATGGATGTGTGTGTGTGCACGATACACATCCACCTGCATACTTCTGATGAACCCTGATATGCTACAGCAAGACAGGGTCTCGACTCGAAGCCCAGGTTGGCCTCAGTGTCTGCCTTCCAAGTGCTGGGGTCACAGGCGCCGGTGCACTGCCACGCCTGCCTCTAATCACAGTCTTCAGCAGCTGGCACACGTGTGGCTGCCTGGGCTTGTGTGAGCCGCATGAGTGCTCACCTGGTTTCTCCTCAGACGGTGCCGTCAGTCATCACCCCCACCCTGTGAGAAGTCTGGCTTGCCAAAGCTAAGCCACTGGCCTGAGTGGCCAAAGAGTGATAATCTGGACCCAGCCCACTGCTTGAAGCCAAAGTTCTCAATCCTGTGTCACCTCTATGAGGTGTCCCTCTGATAAGTTGTTTTGGGAGGGGGCTGGGCAGGAGTTCTTGGAGGGGCGACTCAGGACTTGGGCCTAATTCCAGTTGTGTTGCAGTGGGTTGTTCTACCTCACCAGACATTCTAGAGGGTCTGACCCTTGCCAGGCTACACTCCCTCCACATAAGAAAGGAGGTGTCAGGGTCAAGGGCATTTGCCTATGCCTAGCCTATGATTCTGTACCCTGGATTCTCCCAACTCCTGCAACCCCAAGATCCCCCAAGTTGCCAGGGCACTGACTGAGGGTGTAAATCCTGAAGCCTAGACATGCACGCTGATATTTGCATCCTGGCGGCCACACCCCTGTTGGTATCCGGAGAGAAGCCAGGGCCGGGCGTGTAAGAGCTGGATCTGTCTGGCCGCACCCCTCTCTGAGGAGCACTGAACCTCTATTTTTTTAATTATTTTATTTTTCAATGTGAGTGCTTTGCCTGTTTGTATGTCTGTTTACCACATGTATGCCAGAAGAGGGGTCCCCTGAAACTGTGGCCAGTGGTCTGCAAACACCAGCATCTGTGTCCAGCCTGGGAGAGCTTGGGGTGCTGGGGTTGGCCATGGATTCTCTGGATCTGGAGGGGAGAGATCAGAGGCTCTGGGAAGGCAGATCCCCTCAGCCCCAGATGAATTACCATTTGGGTGCTTAGAATCAAATCTGGGCCTTGGAAGAGCAGCCAGTGATCTTGACCACTGAGTTGTGTCATCTGGGAGACTGGGGAGAGTCTCACTCTGTAGCCCAGGCTAGCATCTCACTATGTAGTCCAGGTTGTCCTGGAAATCACAGTGATCTATCTGTCTCTGCCTTCCAAGCACTGAGGTTACTGGCCTATGCTGCCATGCCCAGTTTCTGTGGCGCTAGCGATTGGCCCCAGGCTTCATTCATGCCAGGCAATCGCTGGCCTGACCAAGCCACAAAGTAATGAACTTCTAAATTAGAGCAGGCTACCCGTGCCTTCCTGCCCTCCCTTTATTAGAGCAGGCTACCCGTGCCTTCCTGCCCTCCCTTTATTAGAGCAGGCTACCCGTGCCTTCCTGCCCTCCCTTTATTAGAGCAGGCTACCCGTGCCTTCCTGCCCTCCCTTGATCTGCAGGGGCACACTATCTGATGCTGGTTTGGGGGTCACTGTCCCCTGCAGAGAGGACCCCAGTCGCTTTTGCCCATGACAACACTGCAGGGCATTATGGGCTAACCTCAGTGCCTCTCTTTTCATATTACTCTTCAGCTGGGGTGTGCCACTGGCCATCACAGTGGCAGCCGTCTCTCTAAAGAAGATAGGCTATGATGCCTCAGATGTGTCCGTGGGCTGGTGCTGGATCAACCTGGAGGCTGAGGACCGTGTCATGTGGATGCTGCTGACTGGGAAGCTGTGGGAGATGCTGGCTTATGTCTTGCTGCCTCTGCTCTACCTTCTGGTCAGGAAGCACATTAACAGAGCGGTAGGTGTCTGATGTGCTAGCCCTTCGGGGACAGGCTGATTCTCCGAGGGACCAAACTAGTGCCAGGCCATAGGGACCGTGTGCTTGGACTGGGTTTGTGATTGTGAATAGACTTGGAGGCGCTGAATGGTCCTGGTATAGGCAAGGCAGAAGCTGAGGGGGCTCAGAGGTAGAGTAGCTGGATCACAGAGCTGCATTCTCCAGTGTGGTCCTGCACTGCCCCCATGTGGCCAGCCCCGATATTACACCAAAGAGTTCAAAGGCAAGGTCGATGGCCACAGATAAAATTCACCTACCCTTGGTGGTCAGAATTGTGTCCCAAGTGTCAGGCTTTTCAGGAGATCATAAGTCAATAGGGCTATCCAGAAAGGGGGGCCGGGTCCTCAGAGAGGTGCAGCCTAAGCAATCATGCTCAAAGATACACCGGCCAGTGGCTGAAGCAATCATAGCACTCTCTGCCCTGAATTCAACCCCAGCAGTGAGAATCCCATTCCCTTTCTTTTTTATATGTACTTTTTTTTTTTTGAGGCTTTTGTTTTGTTGTTGATATTCGGGTCACATGTAGTTCAGGCTGGCTTGGAGCTCACTACACAGTCAAGGATGACCTCAAACTTCTGATCCTCCTGCCTCTGCCTCTCAAGCACTAAGATCGCAGGTCTACACCACCACACCAGTTTCTGCAGGGCCAGGGGCAAACCCAGGGCTTCACATGTGCTAAGTGAGTACTTTAGCCCCAGAGCAGAGCAGGAGGACCAGGAGTTTAGAGGTGTCCTCAGATACACAGTCCAAGTCTGGGGCACACACAGCAGGGCAGGTGGAGATCAGCTGCATGGAGAACCGGAGTCTCAGGAGACAGGGGTGTAAGTGCTGGGCTGGGATGAGGTGTCCAAGGACACAGATGCCTGCAAGGAGCATCCTAACTCAGAGATGGCCGATCAGGGCTAGGTGTGATGGCACGCACCTTTAACCCCAGCAGTGGGGAGGCAGAGGCAGGTGGATTTCTGTGATATCAAGGCTGGCCAGGGCTACACAGTGAGACTCTGTCTCAAGAAAAAGAAAAAAGGAAGAAAGAAAGAACAAAGGAGCCGCAGAGTCAGAAGAACCCATGGGCGTGGCTCGGTGGTAGAGTATTTAAACAGGCAGAGGCCCTGGGTTCAATCTCTAGCACTGCAAAACAAAATATGCCCTGTGTCCTCACTGGCCCCACTGGAGTCCTGGCTGGGTGGGCAGTGGGTCCCACACAGACCAACAGCCAACCTATTCCTGATGCTCTTCTCTCTGGCCATTGACCTGGGAAGATGGAGGCTGCTCCTGGAGAATGAACGCTCCCCTCTGCTCCAGCTCTACCAGGCTCCAACTGTCTTGTGTGCTTCTTGTCCCTTCTAGAGCAGGGTGGGAGTCCCCTGCTTGCCAGGCTGGCCCCTGCATGTGACAATTAATTCTGGACAATTAATTCTGGCAGTTTGCCAGAGGTTTTCAGAAAAGAAAAGGAATGAATTGGGCAAGGAGGTGAGAACGTAGTCATTTCCTACCTGGAGGTGGGGAGAAGAGCTGGGAATAAATGGGGAGGCGAGCTTGGTCCCGAGGAGCAGCCCAGCCGGTCCAGGCTCTCCAAGCTGTACTACCTTGGGTTGAACCCTCCCCATCTGTGTGAGGCGGGCACTCTGCTCCCTGGGCTGCTGCCCCAGGCCCTTAGGGTGAGGTCCTTTAACCAGGAGAGCTGTTGAAGCTTGCCACTCAGATGCCAGGCATGTGGTTACACCCTCACCAGGCTTCAGTGCTCTAAACACATGACCAGGCTCAAACTGACACCTCTCCTCCTCCAGGTCAATTGGTTTTACAAACTTGATTGTGGTTTCAAACTGAGTATCCTTCCTGCCCCGACAAACGTTCCTCCTCGGGAATGCAAGAGCCAAGGCTGGCCCCTTCCTTCCCTCAACTCCTCTTTGGGCGAGCCTGCGCCCTGGGGGTCTTGCACTGTGGAGGGGGAGGGTGGTGGCAGGGCTAAGCTGAGCAACAAGGGTGAGTGACATGGGAGAGGGTGAAGGTTGGGAAGAACCATGGAAAACCGACAGCAGCCCATGGCTGGAGCGGGCTCGGGCTGTTTGAAAGATGGCTTCTCGTGGGCCTCATCCAGAATGTGACCCCGAATGAGGACTTGAGGGTGAGGGAGCTGCACATAACTGAGCGTGCTCCCCCAGGTTCAGGGACCAGCTGAGACCTGGGGTTGGAGGAGAGTGATGTGGCTGGAAGAGTGAGCAAGGGAGGATGGGACTGAGCCCAGAACTGAGCCAGGGCTCACCTGATGGGGTAGCATAAGGACGGCATGAACCGGAGCCACCGAGAGCTTTGAGTGGAGGGCTTGCCAAACCTGCCTTAGACCCTCTGAGGACTTGCCTCTGAGTTTGTAGCGGAAGGAGGGAGACCAAGCAGGCATGTCTGTCATGCCATGGTGGTAGGTCAAGCATCCCGTTTCTGGGTCTGTTCTGCAGGTGGGGCCTCTAGGACTTGCCCGTAGGGCAGGTGTGTCCCGGGAAAAGGGGACTAAAAGATGATGCCCATCACCCAGGTGACAGAAGAATGAAATGTCACTCAGCTGAGACGAATGTGCAGTGGGCTTGAGGGTTGATGAGAGCTGCTCATCCTGGGCAGGGTTTATGACATCTCTGAGACACTCCTGTGGAGTATGCAGGGGATCCGATCTGGGAATTGGAGTGTGTGTTGGGGGAGTGGCTTTTAGTCTGATAGACTCCAGGCCTCCTCAGTGTCCACGTGGGCAGGGCAACAGTACCCGCTCTTGCCTTCCTGGGCTGGTGTGGATGTGTGGATGTGCATGGGTGGGTGTGGTAAGAGGCCCACCTGGCTCAGGTCTCTGCTCCCTGTCCTCTGCGAAGCACCAGGCACTCTCGGAGTACCGGCCCATCTGCGAGGTGCGCCCGCTGCAGCAAGGCTCCTCTGCCTCCATGGCTGATAAGAAACTAATCCTGATCCCGCTCATATTCATCTGCCTCCGGGTCTGGAGCACCGTGCGCTTCGTCCTGACCCTCTGCGGCTCGCCGGCCGTGCAGGCGCCTGTACTGGTTGTTCTGCATGTACGTATGTCTGTCCCCGTGGGCCCTGCTGCCCCACAGTGACAAGGTCAGATCCCTTCCCTACAGACCTACAGACGTCTCAGCCCCAGGGTATTGGCCAGGGTGCACCTATGGGAAGCAGGGGTAGCTTAATGTCCTTCCCCTGTCCCCAGGCAAGGGTGGCTTTGTAAGAAGGGATGGGAGAAATCTGTGGTTGTTCTTAGCAACCTAGAGAAGCCCGGGAGAGCTGACTGGTCCGTCTCACAGCAGGGAGCCTAAAGGCGGTTCTGGCTAGGTGGCCAGTTCAGGCCTGTCCAGAACTCTGCTAAAGGCCTCACAGCGGAGCTCATCCCATGGCAGTTAGAGGCAGGGACGGAAAGGTCATGGTTTCATAGCAGCCCACTGACTCCCCCTCCCCAGGGCATCGGGAACACCTTCCAGGGAGGAGCCAACTGCATCATGTTCGTCCTCTGCACCCGTGCAGTCCGCACAAGGCTCTTATCTCTCCTCTGCTGCCCCTGCTGTCCGCGGCCCTCCACCCAGAACCCTCCTGGGGCGCCTACTCCCCCCAAGATGAGAGAGTCATGGGAATCCAGACGGGTCCCAGAAGTTCCCAGCACCTGAGCCTTGACTTTCCTCACTGTCCTCCTGGTTCCTGTGGCCACCGGATACAGGGTCATGCACGCGGGAAGCTCGGACCCCTGCGAAGGGACAGCCATCAGCGCAGCCTCTTCTACCTCCTAGACTCTCAGGCAGACGCGCACCCCCTGCACACCCGTGTCCTGGCTCAGTGGGGTTTGTTTGTGTGAGCCCAAAGACATGGGATTCGGGGAAACCAGGTGTGCAGGAACCTGTCAGGGCACTGGTTCTCAGTGTCCTGTGGCCACCAGCACTGTTTACAGTTTTAGGGACCCATGCCTATGGATGGACCCCTCCCAGGCATGCTATGCATCCCCTCTCAGACATCACAGTATGAGGCCCAGGTTTGCCAGGATATTGATTCCCTAGAGAGCCTGGAGTAGTTAGAGCTGAACAGCACAGACGGGTTCCCATAAAGCAAGCAGGTCCACTGAGGTCACAGGAGGCTCCGTCACTGATCCAAACCACCCACGCACACACTCATGGCGTCTCACAGATTCTCTGCTTGTGCCATCAGCCCTCAATATTTATTGCATTTGTATTTCAGCACAGGTCAGTGTCCAGAGTCCTGCCCATTAGTCAATCACATAGCATTCAGATCTCTTCCAGTACCAGGAAGAGGGCAGCCGCACTCCAGCCTCTAAGGCTGACACACTGTTACCTGATGTTCTCATATACCCGCCTTTAGGGGTGGATTGGGAGGGTGTCTGACTTTGCACTTTGTTTAGTCATATTTTGTTTGTTTGTTTTTTGTAGGAAAGGTGATCAGGGAGTTGGTGAATGGTCCAAATACTGATTCCTCCCCAAAGGGGAGATTCGGCCTTGAGCTCAGTGGTAGTTTCCAAGTTGGTCACTGCACCAAAGTATTTAAAAAAGCCTTTTCCTCTTCCTTTCTTTTTCTTTCTTTTTTTTTTTTCTTTCCGGTTTTTGTTGTTGTTGTTGTTTGTTTGGTTTTTGTTTTTATTTTTTTGTAGTTTTTTGTGGAATATAGAAAGAGGGTTCTGAGGTCATTACATTCTATTTTGTTTGAGACAGGGTCTCATTGTGTAGCCCTGGCTGGCCTGGAACTTGCTGTGTAGACCATGCTGGCCTCAAACTCACAGAGATCCACCTGCCTCTGCCTCCTGATAATTACATTAAAAAAAAGGTTTTGTTGTGTTCTTTCTGTACTAGGGCCTTGTGCCTGTTAAGCAAGTGCTCTGCCACTGGGTTCTACCCTGAGCCTTCCTTTTGTTTTTTGTTTTGAGACAGAGTCTCACTAAGTTGCCTAGACTGGCCTCGAACTGTCAATGAGCCAGGCTGTTCTTGAACTTGTGATTTTTCCTACCTCGACCTCCCAGGAAGCTAGGATTACAGCCTCCAGCTCCACCATGCCCAGCCAGAGAAGGGTGCAAGTGAGCTGTGCATCCGTTTCTACTCAGTGGCTCTACCAACATTTTCCTCAATTCAGAGAACGGTATTGGCTGAGTCTTGGGCACTCAGAATGGTCAGTGTGACCTCCACGGTCAAGCCAGAGAGGGAAATGTTCTACTGTACCTGTAGGTAGCGCCCTTGGACTCTGTCAGTACCCCACAAAGCTAAGAGGATTCAGAGCCCCATAAAGCGGCGCAGGGTGAGTGCAAAGTCGCACTGGGCCATCCGTTCCCATTCTGTTCTCAATGTCTCTGCCAGGAAAGGAATAGTCGCCCAGAGGTCTCCTTTCCTAATTTCCCTGGAAAGCGTTTCTTTAGGAAAATCTACAAGGGGTGAGCTCCCTCTTGGGAGTCAAAGGAAGCCCCTGGGCAGGGGGCTGTCTGCTTATAGAAACAGCCTATGTAGGGGGCCTAGGGCATGCTGAGGTCCTGTGAAGACATTACAGCCACTTTGTGCGCTGTTGGCTTCGAAAATGGAGCAGAAATTCTAGGAATTTGTTTCCCGCAGAGGAGTAAAATATCTACCAAGTACCACAGAGGAAATGATGCTGGAATAAACCCAGCTGGGCAGGCATTGTGGAGCCCTAGCTGTTGGAGGTCCTGGAGCCTGGGGCTCACTCAAGCTCTCTGTTTGATGATTGATGCTATCTGCCAGGCTTGCTGTCTGTAAAACCCTCCACAGGCTCCACACTTTGGCTCTGTCCATCTGTTTCCCACGATGCCTTGTCACTGCAGGTGAATGGTGGTGACCCAGGCTTGGTGCCTTGTCTCTAGCCCTGTGAGCTCTTCTCAGAGCCAAGTGGGTCCAGCAGGTGCTCAGAGTTTGGAACTAGAGGAAGGTGAGTCCTCAGTGCCCAGTGGGGGGCGCTAGAGGCTGCTGGCTCCTCTATGCCTTGCTCTGCCTGGTGGCTTTCTGTCTCTATTAGTGTTATTCATATTTATCTGTCGGTGCCCCTCAGCCACCCAAATATGACCTCAGCCCTAACGGGTGTTGCAGAGCATGCCATGTTGTGTCCGTCCCCCCCCCCCATCACCCTCCTTCAGCACTTTGTGACTCCAGGTTTCCTAATCAGTTGCCAGCTGCTTTCTGCCTCTGTCCATCTGGGGCGGGGTTTTGTTTTTGTTTTGTTCACACACACACACACACACACATTTTTTGAGATACCAGGGGATTAAACCTAGGCCTCTGCATGCTACGCAAGTGCTCTAGCATTTCTCCACTTCCCCAGCCCTTTATTTTCTCTTTTAAGTGTTGAAGCAAGGGTTCTCACTAGTTGTCCAGGCAGGCCTCGAACTTGAGACCCTCCTGTCTCAGTTTCACTGTTCCTGGAATTACAGGCCTATGCCACCAAACCCAGCCAACTCTCTGGAGCCTTTTAGTTTGTTCTGTCTCTCTGAAAAGAATAACAAATAAAGATTGTTATGTGTCCAAAGCCTAGATGGAACCCTTCATTTGTCTTGGCTTTGTTCATGTGTGAATGTTTCTGTGTGTGTAAGTGGGGGGGACAGACGGGAGTCTGACCCCCAGAAGCCAGCGTTACAGTGGGTAACAAACTAACCCTGGGTCTTCTCCAAGAACTGCCGAGCCATGCCTCCAGCCCCCTCCTCATGGTTTTGTGAAATCACAGTTGTGGCATAATTAAGCATAGCATGAAATTTTCTGGAAGCCTGATGTTTAACCCTGGCTGGGTGAAAGCCCAAACTCTTGCTGTTTTAAATTAAAGGAATCAATTATTTTTCTCCTGTGTGTTTGCTAAGTTCATTCCACACTGATGGGGGAAGGGCTGAGTGGCCTGAGGTGTGGTGGCCGAGGCCTGGAGAGCCCTTTCTTTTAAGATGTGTACCACTGGCCACAGGCTTGGGCTTCACACACAGACACTTGCCAAGGTGCAGGCACAAGTTTTTATTGGCTGCAGACCTCCTCCTACCCTCTTGTCTAGCTTCTGTCCTGAAGTCCTGGGCAAGTCGTACTCTGTAACCCTGAACTCCCTCACTCTCCTCTTCCAGCCTCCAGAACCTTCCACCTTTGGTAGTTGATTCTCATACTGTGTTTCCCACCCTCCCTCACTCTCCCCTACCCTCTCTTACCCTCCCCTCCCTGACCCTCCACAATCCTTCATGACCCTCTACGACCCTCCCTGGCCATCTGTGATCCTTCTTGATTCTCCCTGACCCTCTCTGGCTGTCTGTGACTCTTCATAACTCTCCTGACCTTCCCTCACCCTCCCCTGCCCTCCCCGACCCTCCACACCTCTCTCCCTTCCCACCCATTTCTCCCACCTGACCTGACTGGCAAGCTCATCCTGTACCACCTCCTGTCTCCTTCCCTGCTTAAAAGGTCCTCTGCAGCACCTGACTCCATCCAGACCGTGAGTCTGAACCTCAACTTCTCATTGCTGGGATCACAGACTTAATACCCTGCCTCCTGATTCACTGGGGTTTCTTTGTGTGAGCACAAGGAGGTGGGCATCAGGGAAGCCAGCTGTGCAGGGCCCATGCATCCAGCCCCGGGCCGTGGCATTCCAGGCTCCCTGACCTGGTGCTTTTCCCTGTCTCCCAAGCTCTCTCCAACCTTCTCTCAGCAGGAAATGCAGCTTGCTGTCCCTCCCTGCACTGCACTGTCCCTGGGCTTGGTGGCCTCTCTCTGCCCTTAGCCAATGGACACCTAACAGGATGACCTCTTGTGCCCACAGGTTCCCCAGAAGAGCTCTAAACACTACATGTTCTTCTGGGACTGTGTTCCAGGGACCGGCCCAGCGTGTGTCTGTGTCCTGGTTTCGTTTCTGTTGCTCTAATAAAATGTCCTGACAAAAAGCAATTTAGGGCCTGAGCCTGGTGGCACACCCCTCTAATCCCAGTGCCTGGGAGGTAGAGGCAGGGAGATCTCTGGGAGTTCAAGACAAGCCTAGTCTACATAGAGTTCCAGGCAGACCATGGCTACATAGTGTCTCAAAAACAAAACAAAACAGAAAGCAACATAGGAAAAAGGTTTATTTTAACTTAAAAATTCAGGTTCCATCATTTCAGGAAACTCAGAACTGCAGAAACTCAAGTCAGCTGCTCATATCATGTCCCAGAAGAGCAGAGAGAGGTGAATGCAAACATACTTAATAATCTTCAACAGTCCAGGACCCAAGCTGGGGAATGGCACTGCTCACACGCATCTTTTAAGGCAAGCAAGATAATTCCCCACAGACAAGCTGTCTCAGTAGGCAAAGTGCTGGCTGACTCGTTATGAGGACCAGAGTTCAAGTCTCAGCACCCACTGAAAAAGTTAAGCATGATGGTGTGTGCCTAGAATCCCAGCACTAGGGAGGCAGAGACAGGAGGAACCCTGGGTTTTAATGGACAGCCAGTCTAATCAGCAAGGCCTGGTTCCAGTGAAAGATTCTGTCTCAAAAGAACAAGGTAGATGGGCACTGGTGGAATGACACCAGATGTTGTCACACACACATACACACGCACACGAGCACCCACATGTGCACACACACATACACACACTTGCACACGAGCACCCACATGTGCACACACACATACACACACTTGCACACAAGCACCCACATGTGCACACATAGACACACATATACATGCACGCATATGCACACACTCACAAAGAGAAGAAACTGATGGGAGTGAAAAGCAGGCAAGGGCTGGAGGTGTGGTTCAGCGTGGAGCATTTTCCTCGTATTTGCAGGTCCCAGGCCACTGAAGGGGAAACAGAAAAGAGGGTTAGTTCCTGCTCCCAGTAAGCCGCGAGCCTCTGGAGAGAACTAGACTCCAAGCACAGCCTCCTCCCTTATACCACCGGGAGTCAATGCCTCCCAAGCCCGGCTGTTGTAACTATGTAACAATGAGACCAAAATGGGTCCAGCACGTCACACCAAGACCCCCAGAGAAAGCCTGTGACCCAGGTTGTCACCTCCACTGCTGCTCAGCCTGTCTTGGATAATTGAAGCCATCCTGAAGATCCTACTTCCTGCCGACTCTACATAGACAACATCACAGTTGAGAGCCCAGGCACAGCCATGGTCATCAGGGGTGACCCCAAAAGAGAGAACTTTTTTTCCCTCCTATGTAGTGAGATAGTCCGTCTGTGGCACTGACCACGCCCATTGGGGGTGGAGCCATGGGCGGAGTGACCTGTGAAAGGAGGACGGAGGGGGCCAGGAAAGGTTCTCTTTCTGGCGTGACTCGGACAGGAGAGGATCGGGTTGAATTTCCTGGTGTTCATCTGTCTAGGTTGTAAGTTATTTCTCCCTGAATAAACATCTATTCGGCCTATTTGTTTATCCTGATCCTTGTTTAACCACGATACTCCTAGGACAAGGTTTCACTATGTAGCCCTAGCTGTTCTGGAACTCACTCCGTAGACCAGGCTGGCCTGGAACCCACAGAAATCTGCCTGCCTCTGCCTCGGCCTCCTGAGAGCTTGGATTAAAGGTAGGTGCTGCCACACTTGGCTAATTTTAAAATGTTTTATTTATGTGCACATGTTTTGCCTGCTTGTATGTCCATGTGCATGCCTGGCACTCCTGGAGGTCAGAAGAGGGGTCAGGTCCCTGGAGTTACAGGAAGTTGTGAGCTGCCACGCGGGTGCCGGGAACTGAACCTGGGCCCCTGGAAGAGCAGCCAGTGCTCTAACCTCTGAGCTAGCTCCCCAGCCTCAACAAAGACTTACTTTTTAAAAATTAATTATTTATTTTATTGTGTACGGGTGTTTGGCCTATACATATGTCTGGTCATTGTTGCATACCTGCTCCAAGGGGAGGTCAGAATAGGGCATTGGATCCCCAGGGTCTGGAGTTATAGAGAGTTGTAAGCTGCCATGTGGGTGTCAGGAATTGAACCTGAGTCCTCTGGAAGAGCAGCCAGTGCTCTTAACCACTGAGCCATCTCTCCAGCCTAATACTTACTCTTGTTGGTGCCTCTATTCATGCAAGAATTCTTGGCAATTTCTTACACCCATGCTTTCGGAGAAGGAGGCAGGTCTTCCCGCCCTCTGGTCCTCTCTATTGCTGGCAGAACACAGAGCCATGGGCTTGCCTGGGCACATTGTGCCAGGGTATAGTCACCAAAGCCAAAAGATTCCAAGGTTTGCTAGAACAAACTGACAAAGACAGAGTTGTTACAGAATATCTCCATCAGAAAGGCGATCCATGAAACTACCCACTAGGCCAGCCTAATTCACAACCTTTCTGTATTTCTTTCAGTAGAGGAGAATGGCAAGTAGACAGAATTCGGGAATGAAATGGTTGTGGGCGATAGTGCCCCCTGGAGGCAGGAACTAGCTTGTAAACATTATATTTAGGGTACGTCCAGGTCTGCTGTTATGGCTGGGATCCAGGGTCTCACACACTGGGCAAATGCCACACTCCAGACCCAGGGCTACTTTGCTTAGTTTGCTGAGGTTTTGTTTTTGGTAATTTAGCAGGCCCCAGGCCTTAGTGGTCACAGGCTATAGTGGCCCCAGACCTTAGCGTCCCCAGACGACCTTAGTGCAACTGATTCCATGATGGAAACACCATTCAGGCTGCAAAACTCAGCATGCAGGCAGCAGCCTCAGCCAGAATGAGAACAAAGAGCTGACCCATCAAAGTCCATGGTTCTGGGAAAGTCTCTGAACTGCTTTTTGGCTTCTGTGGCTCCAATTCTGGCTACGTGCTCTTGCTAACAGAAGTATGCCAACCCAGAGCCTGGTTTTTGGGTGTGCCTCAAAGTTCATCCTGAGGAAGGCTCGGTGCTATGTGGGGATCCCGAGCACCCGGTGTAGTCACCCACTGGCAAATAAAGATTGTACTGGCGTACACCTGCGTCTGAGTAGTCTTTTCTCAGGTGCACACCTCACCAAGGTAACTGACCCGATTAGCTGTTGTTTGTTTGTCTTCCCAACTTGAAGCAAGCTAGAGGCTCTTGAGAAGAGGGAGCCTTAACTGAGACAACGCCTCCATCAGATTGGTCGGTAGGCAAGTCTGTGCAGCATTTTCTTAATTAATGATTGATGTGGGAGGGCCCAACTCAAGTGTGGGTGGTGCCAAAGGAGCCAGGATGCCAGGTTCCCACCTTGAGTCCCAGCCCTGATGACCCACCACGATGGAGGGTGAAGCTGGAGGATGAGGTAACCCTTTCCTCCCCAAGTTGCTTTCGGTCATGTTTTATCACAGCAATAGAAACCCTAAAGCACAGTTATTGAGACTGGCTCTCCTGTAGCCCAGGCTGGCCTCAAACCCACTATTGACCAAGGATGGAATTGAACTAACAATCTCTCTATATCTACCTCCCCAGAGCTGAGATTCCAGGTGTCCACCACTATACCCAGATAACATTTGTTTTTTTTTTTTTTTTCCGTTGTTTTGCTTGGATTTCAATCAAGCTTCAGAATCAAGAATCCTCCTGCCTCTGATGCTGGGATTCCAGGCATGCACGTACCACCGCATCCCAGCCTCTGGCAGTCTTCCTCTGTGTAGGGTGCAGGGTGGAGGTGCAAGACAGTTATGTTTTCTTGTTCAGGTCTGCTGTTATGCAGATACGATGCCAGGGAGAGGCACTCACTGGCCCGAGGGGAACAGACCTGCCTCTTCCCTTCATCACTCCCTTGGCTGCCATCCCAGGAGGAGGCACAGACAGGCAAGAGAGTCCTTGCATGATCTGCTGGGGGAGCATCGAGGAGAACCTTGAGAGTGAGTCGCCGTGGGCTGCCCATACATCTGGGAGGTTGCCCTTTTGTATATTTTGAATCAGGGTCCCATT